ATGGGAGAAGAGGGATAGGGAGAAGGGCACTTTTGGGAAAACATGCACTTAAGATGAATGGGAGATGTAATGGTTTTGTAACATTGTCTGTAATGAGACTTAATCTTCTCTGACTACTCCTGAGGAGGCTTTGCTTTTAGACAGATAAGGGAATTGGGGAATTCAGTCCCTCCCCTTCTCATCCTGTCTGGCCTCAAGACTCAGCATTCTGCATCTCTAGAATCTCTCCCATGAACTATAGAACATGTGACCATCTCCTGTATCTCTGCTCAAATGTCCAAAAAGCTGTCTCGCTGAGATTAACAGACAGTGTCTGTTATTAGAATCCGTAACTGGAAAGGTTGATCAGGGAATGGTGGAATGAGAGGAAGGTGACTCACAGTGACAAGCTGGGAGAATATTGGACTGAGGTAGTGGCAAAGGCAAGATCATTAGATGAGAGACGGCCAAGGGATGGGAGACCAATGACAAAGATCTTCCATATGGACTCTGAGATCATTGTAGCTGCCAAGATAAACTTCAACAGTGTAAGTCCATTGATGCCACTCTGAAAATAGCTCACACTTCGTTGCTGTATGGAATGTGGGTCTGTAGTGAAGGGCACAAGAAAATACTATTCCAAAACACCTTTCTGATAGTTAGATTATTTTGAGTATAAGGCAATTGATTGTCTGTGAACACTTGTAAAGCTCTTACCTCTTCCTAACTACCTACATATAGAGTATAAATTTAACCTTTTGTGAAAAAAATTTACCTTTTGTAAAGGAAATTTCAATTTCCAGATGTGTCTTTTCAAGATAACTTTTCATTCAGGACTGATCTGCATACCAACACCTTTCCCTAATCATACTTGTCTTCTTCTCATCTTCTCAATACTTGTCACCAAAGCCCTAAACCTTTTTTTCTTTAGCCTAAACTGATACAATCTTGAACCATCTGGATCCCTTCTGTAGTCTGATTTTTTCATGAAGTTCCTCTGCATACTTACATAATAAATATTTTTGTTTAGTTAATTGGTTTGTTAAGTGTTTTAAACCTACAGCATGCCAAATCCTTCATCCTATGCTGAGCTATACAGTATGGCACCATGTTTTCAGTTTAATTTCTGGAGCTTCACCTGGAGAATTTAGAGGGGAGAGGGAAGGGGATTTTTGTTCCCTTACACAACATTTAAGAAAACTTAAGAGCTGGGGATATACTAGGTAATGAAGTACTGCCTTGCCCACCTGAGAACCTGAGTTTGTTCCCCAGTAAGACAAAATGAAACAAAATACCCCAACTACAAAATCCCACAGGCAATACATTATTGTATAATGAAGACCCAAGACCCAAAGACGATGGGGAGGTTTGTCATCTATGAGTGTCTTGTTCATGGTTCTCAGTTTTGATTAAAAATTATTCCCTCTGAGCCTTTGAAGATGATATCCTTTCTGCTATTACCTATCTACATCCTCCTGTTCAACCATTTCTGCCTTAATTTTCTGCAGTAATCCCCTAATTGGCTCTATTTCCGTGCACTTGCCTCTCTTCCTCTTCCAGGGTTCTCCACACAGCAGCCAATGTGTTCTTTTGCATAGTTAGCACCAGGAGCTTTTCTAGATTAGGCCTCAGGGGTTCTCACTGAGCATGCACATCTTCCATGATGAAATCTCTTCCTATCTGTTCAAAGTTGCATTATCACCCTAGATCACTGCTACAGCAACATGGAGTCCTTGAGTGCTTCAGTGGACTGACTCTAAAATTATTATATACTTTAGGGTGGATCTGTCAAGTGAGAGACAACATGAAAACCATTGAATATCTGACATTTTAAATGCAAGGGATAATTTTTAGAAATAAAAATCCACATTTTACATTCGTGTTCCTTTCCATTTATAAATTGAAACAACTTCCTGACAGTGACTTGAGGCCCCTAATTTCTTGTCAGGATTGTAATCTGTTGACATTTATTTATCTTAGCAAATAATTTTGGAGGTGTGTCTTTAAGCAGCAGCCCTGTGGCTCTGAGGGAGAGTGCAGCTCTGCTTTTACTAGAATTATCCACTGAGGGATAAGGTAGGGGAAAGCCCTGACTCTTGGCCTGAGGCTACCCTTGGGTCTACTAACATGTGCAGTAGCTGTAACAGGGTAGGTGTTTGGGTTTTTTTGGTTTTTTTGGTACTGGGGATTGAACTTAGAGTAGGTGTTTGGGCAAGAACTTACAACCTACCTATGTATTTTTCTTATCTGTGTGAAGTTTTCATTGTATTAAAACTGAGTTTAGCATTCTGGTTTTTGAGGAGTATACAATGAAGAGTATGGTAAAAAGTAGAGGAAAAATTTAAATGCAGATTATCATTTTAATAGGTATAGTAGGAAGAAAAAGGATTCAGCTTTTCAAAATAGTAAAACTGGCCTCATTGGTTAGAATGCAACAAGAACAGAGCAGAGAGTGGTATAAGGAGACACCTATAAAAGGGACAGCTGGAAAGAGGAAAAGAACCTCTGTGAACTTGTTTGGAAGGCCTTTCAGATTGGCTAGATTTACAGTCAGTCCAGACTGCATGAGCAGGCTGGGTGCAGGTAGGATGTGAATTCATGTGGATGCTTTTGTCTCAGTACTTGAGATCTCTGCAAAAGGTCTAGGACACAGACAGTGCCAATCAGCCAGTTAGGATTTGCCGGGCTATGGAAGCTAGGAAACAGCAACAAGATGGGAGGTTGATATTTGTCATAGGGAAATCTAGATTCAATGTCTGTTTTTTTCTTTATATAAAAGGATGATGTTGGGCTGGGGATTTAGCTCAGTGGTTCTGCTGCCTGCCTCACAAATGCAAGGTCCCAGGTTCGATACCCAGTACCAAAAAAAAAAATGGATGATGTTAATGCAATGAGCAGTACATGAAACCAGAAAGCTGCTACCACAGGGAAAGATTAATGTGTCCTTGAAGGCAGTTACTACTCTTCTTAAGTCACCTAAAGCCATTATACTGTACAATTGTATTAGTTAGAGATTGGTGCCATGGTGTTTATTTTATAATATGTACTGAATTTATTTTTATTTCATTTTAGGGGAGTGTAGTACACTATTCTATATTGGGTGTTAGAAATAAAGTTTGTTGGTTTTGTTTCTTTTTTTCTGGTGTGATGCACTTGAACTTGATGGTATATCTTGGGGAGACCTTTCTAATCACTTGATTTATGACTCATGAATTTCCAAAGCCCTGCATATTTTTAAGAAATCAGTTAGAGGGCTAGGAATTTAGCTCAATGGCACCATGCCTGCCTTGGGAGCGGCAAGGTCATGAGTTCCATCCCAGCACACACACAAAAAATGTTAAAACCCTACCAAGGAACTAAGCAGCTGCGCAGTAATGTGAATTGCAAGAATTCTGTCATAAGAAGCTGGTCACCATCATATATCACTGTAATCCCCACTGCTGGGGATGTTAGGGCAAGAGGATCAAAATTTTAAGGTCAATCTGCATCACAAGTTTTAGCCTACTTTCTCTTATACACTTGGGTAATCTTTCTTGGGTACTATAGTTTCAGTTATTGCCTTTTTATTTTTTGGTGTTCCTGGATGTGTACAAATAATTTTATTAGTGGGAAACAATTAGTGGCACAAATAATTTTTTGTTGTTGCTTTGTTTTATTTGTTTTTGGTACCAGGGATCGAACTCGGGACCTTGCACTTGCAAGGCAGGTGCTGGAACCACTGAGCTAAATCCCTGGCCCACAAATAATTTTATTAGTGGATATTCCTTGCTTAGGCCACCATGTTCAAGTGTATTGTACCAGCAAAAATGAAAGAGGAAAGAAAATGTTTTTTATTAGTGGAAAACCTCATAAAACTATCTTTTGCATCTTGAGGCCATGACCTATTCTAATTCAAGGAATATGTTACTTGATTCTCTTAATAAGTCTTGGGAAGAGGTAGAAATGTCCTCCGTGGCGGAACATCACATGAGGTGGGAGTTGGGAGGTAATGGCTTGTGTTGGCATTGGCATATTTTGATTTCTGAAGATATCCAAAGAAGGCTTCCACAGTTTTTAAAGGTGTAAAGTTCATACATTACTTGTGCCTTCACTTGTATCACTTCAAACGAATAGTTTTAGCAAATTACTACCATTTATTGAATTTGCAGGTTCAAATGCAACTGTTCACATTTAATTTCCTGTGTGTCAATCTCTAAATGTTTCCCTGCTTTCCACTTTCCATAATGAATCAAGTGTTTTAAGTGCTTTTGGGTATAAAAGCAATTATTCAGAGATTTTAGTTTTTTGGTCTCTTTTGCTGTGACATGTCCTTGTGTGTCTTTCTTGTATTTTAAACTTCATTTAAAAACTTAATATTCAGTTTATACTTTAGATCATTGAAGTGCTTAACTATTGGCTTGATTTACTTTATCATGTTCATACTTGATTTTAAATCTTTCTGTAGAATTTAAATATGTTTGCCAATTAAGGAAATAATTATATTATTACAATTTCAGAGTTTATATTTGTAGCCAATTGAAGGTGTACAATAGATATAAAATCTGGTGTTATAAATTCAGAGAAAGTTCTCCTGTCTCTGGCTGCTTGGCTAAGGCGATAACAATGTTATAAACTGAAATTTAAAGAAAAATATAGGGAGCATGGTGATAATGGTGTAGCCACTCCCTGAACTAAATTGTATCATAATATGCTTTTCAAGTAAGATAAATATAACCTCACTTGTTGTTTTCCTTTTTTATGAATATTAAGTAATTTACATGCTCTTTACTTTTTGACAATTCATTTGTCATCTATTTGGAGCACAGGTATTAAAAGTTGCATCTGTTTCCTATTTAAATTCTAAAGTTCTTACCAGAGCGGAAGGTTCTGAAGTTCTTATTACAGTGACATAAGCTGTTCATTGGGAAGGAATCCACAAATTACAGCACAGTTTAAAAGATTTGGTTTAAATGTAGTGCTATTTAGAGTTTACAACCTCGTTTTTCCGGAATGTTGACTTACTATTGGTTATCTCTCAACAGAAAGGCAGAAACTCTCCAGATGTCTTCCAGTAATGACCAGTTTTGTATCCTGTTGTCACAAAGAAACATCAATGGTCTCCCTGGGATGACCTCCAGTGACCTGAAGACATGCACCAAAGGGGCTGTTTTAAGTTTTCATAACATCTGCTATGGAGTAAAAGTGAAGAGTGGCTTTCTACTTTGGCAGAAAATAGTTGAGAAAGAAATATTATCCAATGTCACGTATGTGCATAAACTTTTTAAAAGACCATTTTGTTGACCTACAATGAGCTTCATAGATTTTTTTTTCTTTTACCGGTATTTTTGTTGAACTTCTCAAATTGATATATTGACACATGCTTTCATTTCTTTCAGCTAAACTAGGACTGAAATGATTGGATCACTTGTTAAGTATGTTTAACTTTGAAAGGAACTGACAAACTGCTTTAAAATGTGTTTATACCATGTGTGTTTTGTTTGAGAAACTGAGCAATTAGTATGGCATTTAATTTTCCTCAGTGAGTCATGTATTTTGGGGGAAAGAGGACTGCCTGTGTAATTTACTGCTTTTTGATCATGGAGATATAATTATAACCCTTTCAGTAGTACTTCTTGAGCCAAATACTTTGTAGGTACTTGTATACTTCATGTCCTTTGTATTCTGGTAGCAAGAAGTTTGAAATGATAGTACGTTGTGAAAGTACTTTCCTTTCAAATAGATCTATTTTAAAGAATGGCCTATTTATAGTAGATCATAGACTATAAGTATTTAAAACTTTCCTTCAATAATAAAGACAGATAGAATATATTATATTCTTATATTTAAATGTAAGACAACTATATTTTAGCTGAATTATGCAGTTGATGTCCAAAGTGATGAGAATTTAGGATCTAAATGCAGTTAATTTTTTTTTTAAAGTACCTAGTATACTTACAATCCCAGCTACTCAAGAGGCTGATGCAAGAGGATCACAAGTTCAAGGCCACTTTGAACAATTTAGGGAGACCCTGTCTCAAGAAAAAAAAACCCCAAAACAAAAACAAAACTCCCAAAAGGACTGGGGATGGATGCACTCCATGGTATGGTGGCCCTGGATCCAATCCCCAGTACTGAACAGACAAAAACAACAACAACAACAAAAATCAAATTAGTAATTATGATTTTTATTATTTCCATCCACACCAATGAGAACTTAGAGCCTGGTGTTAAAGTAGGAATTGCAGTGGGAAGGAAATGAACATTTCTATAGAACTTTTTACTATCAGGTATCTTTGCCATTTCCCAGATCTAATTGATAGGGTTGGAAATGTTTTTCTGATTTCTAGAGAATTGAGACTCTACTTCCCCTCTCTGGTGTTTGGAAGTGTATTTGGGTTTGCTCATAATAGCATGTGTTTCATTTGATTGATAAAGGATATAATTACTTGTAGAGAAAGCAAGCAACTTTTCCTAAGACTGAGGGAGTGGCTCCAAGTCCTTTGACCCCATCTAGCTGCAGACCTACATGGAATCAAGTGTTTCTTCTGTTTTCTTGATGTTTTTCTTATATGACTATGGTCTTTTCTGTTCCTAGAAACCAACTTTGTTCAATCTTTTGGGTGTGGGTAGCAGAGAGGTGATGAGGATCTGAGAGTTGACTGAAGTGAGCCAGGAGTGCTGGGTAGGATTAGAACAGTTTCTATGCAGCAACACCCTTTGTCATGCCTGCTTCTTGTCTCTTTCTTGTGGTGGTTAAGAAATCCTGACTAGGAGAATAAAGAGATGAATATTGGATGCAAAGCTTTCATCATTTGCTTACATGCTTAGATCAAATTGACTTATAAAAAACTGACAAGGACTTTGAAAGTGTTCATCCCTTCACATGGTGTGTTGAGACAAAGAAAGTAATATGACGTGAATATATATAGGTTGAATAGATATAAAATGTATATTGTGTGAGGGTACATTTACCTTACTCTATTTTCATTTTTTGGTGCTGACTGAATCTTTGCCCTGGAGCATGCTATGCATGGTGCTCAGCCACTGAGCTACACTACTAACTCCTCCAAAAAAGATACCTATACACACACACACACACACACACACACACACACACATTTTCACATCTTTTTTTTGTTTGTTTCTGTTGTCTTTGGAATTAAAACTGAGGCCTTAAGCAAGGCACGGAAGCACCCTACCAGTGAGCTGCACACCTAGTTTATGCTGCTTATCTTTTCAGTCTTGAAAAGAGTGATGCGTGACTCAACACAGTACATATCAGCTGCTCAATGTTTTTATGGCTAAGTGGTGTGAATTTCAGCAAAGGAGGAAGTCATTATCTTGTGCTTTCTTATACTCAGGAAGATGTGGTCAAATCCTGCAATTCTTTCAGTTTTTACAGGTAAGGGATTATTGGTATTTTTGGTTACTCATGTTTCTAGGTTAGGTATCCATGAGAAAGGTCTTCCCTTTTTTGGCTGCAGCATTTCTAATCTTTCTCCTGCTTTCAAATTACTAAATTCCACTCTGAAGTATGGGAAGTTGCTCTCATTATCTTATTTTTAATTTGTGTTTGATTGCACCAGCACCATTCAAAATAGCAAATATATACCAGAAAAGCTGTTGAGAATATTGATTTTCTTTTTACCTTCCCTTTTGTAAGAAGGTAACGCAAAATTTGATCATGCATATTTGGTTTTCCCAATCTTATGAAAAGCCCTTTCCTTATGCTTAATTTGTCTTAATACCAGCCCTTGAGATTTCCTGCACCACTGCTGAAAATCTATGGGAAAGAATCATCCATTCCAGGAGACATGTGGGCATTCTGTAATTATGAAAGAAATTCATCATATACTTTAAGACATTTTCAAATTAATTACTAACTGGACTGGGGATTTAGCTCAGTGGTTCTGGTGCCTGCCTCGCAAGTGCAAGGTCCCTCGTTTGATCCCTGGTACCAAAAAAAAAAAA